GGCGTCTCTCATAATCATATGGTAGTTTTGAGACGTTAAACCCCTCAAATCAATCAATCAACCCATGCGAATTACCATCCTTTTTCCCGCTTCTGTTGGATTGCTTTTCCAGGAGAATTTCGCTTTCAGGGCGCAAGTGTTCATTTATGTAAACTGGGTGGCTATTCTGGATACCCAGCATGACAGTGTTCAGTAGTTTTTTTTAGCTTCCTTCAGTATCTTGTCCCGAACTGATCTGGATGTGAGCTTTATTACGTTTGGGGGCGTATTGCCCTTTGACAGGACGCGATGAGCCACGTCATTGTCACCGTCCGAAAGTTGGACGCACAAGCAAGATGCGACTTTTTCAACTGTTTTGGTGATGTCCTCATTTTCGGTCTTAGGTATACCTCTTAATTCGAGGTTTTTACGCCTACTGTACTGATTCAGTTCAATAGGCTGCTTTTTTGTTTCCTGCAGCTCTTTGTTTAGTCTTAGATTACCTTTGTTGCATTCAAGGCCTTGGTTTTTTACTTCACCAAGCTCAAGTCGAAGGCTCTTTATTTCAATTCGGTAATCTTCAAAGCTTTCGTTCATCTACGCGACAGATTGTCTAATGGAAGTGCGCTCAGCTTTCATTGAGTTATTTGTAGCTTCCATCTTGTTCATCTCTGTTTTCAGGTCACTGATAGTTTCAACAAATTTAGAGGTCATTTTAATAGGTACCTTTGATATCTCTTTATTGATAGCTGGTGCCTTTTTAGCCATGGCTTTAGAAATATCCAACAGAGCATCAGGTTTGCCAGAAGCCATTTCAGTGGTTATCTAGACACACTTCACAACAGAAATGAGGATATGCTACAGAACACACTATGGTACACTGTGGCAGCAGTGACAGCGAAAACTTCTGGAATATTATGAGCGTAAAAGAATAGCAGGCCAACGTGTAATATGAAGGAGGGACTGTTTAGCGGATGTGCAGTTGATGTTGTCACCGCTGCCTAATGTCGTGTCCCGGGAGCATTGCTGTCTTTATAGGCTGCTTCGTTGGTCACGAGGTGCCATTTCCAGCGACGCTTGAGCGGGAGCGATCAGACTTGTGCAGTGATCCTGCTCTTGTAGCTCGTCACCTTTATCGTAGACCAGTTCACACAGCGATGCTGATGCGGTTTTCATACCCTGGCCGTCCGTAGATCTGTAATGTGAAGCGGGGACCGTTTAGCGTATGTGAAGTCGATGCTGGCACCGCTGCCTGAATGGTGGCTTTCTATTCCAAGCCACCACTCTATTATGAATGGTGACATCCTATTTTGATTTGGTTTTCAGCCTTTTATTTTGTTCTTGTTAGCATTTTGCTTAGACACTTGCTTTTATTGATGTGTGGTTGTTCCCTAAAAGACTCTAAAAGAATCATGCTTTGCATGTTATTTTTGGCACTGGAGTTGTGACGTTCTTGCATGGTTTGTGGCATGCTGTGGTTCGAATCTACTTTGTCTACTGCAAAAATAGGCCTAGCGTTAGCTAAGAAGGCCTCGTTAGTCCCTAAGTTCAATCAGCTTTGTTGATACTTAGGCTTTAACCAGCAAATGTAGGCTTCTTCTTTTTAGAAGCGAAGCTTCTTTAGATCTTACTATGTCCAACCGGCTTCTATACGTGCGTGCGCCGTGTACAGTGGAAGCGCAGAAGAATAACACTTGTGCGCAAAAGCGTTCACAGAAAGGATATGTATTTTAAAAATAGACAATCCGTCTGTCACTCTGTCGGTCCGTTCGCCTGTGCATCAATGTTTCCGTCCTTTTTACTAGTAAGCGACGTCAGCATTGACATTATGCACCATAGAACCTTGCTTCGCTCCATCATCAGCAAACCTTTTTTGGATATGCGTGGATATTGCCTTTCATATTGCGTTTGCGATATCAAGATCGATGGGCGGAAGTCGGCCGGCACTAATAGTCTAACGTGAGAAGTGCTTTGTGAATACGGGCACAAACCCGGTGTAAGTCCAACGACTGGTTTCCCGCTTGTTAACCGGACATCTTCTTTAGTCTGTTAATATCCCCCCTCCCCCAAGTAGAGTAGTGAACCAGACCATTTTCAATGTTTGAAGACGAAGTAGTGCACAAAAAAAAATTGAGGATTCATGTCGCTTTGTGAATGTGGATAACAAGCTAATGTATTTAACCTACGACGAGAAATCAGGGGCATAGCTTGCACAGTTTTTCGGGAGCGGGAGGGGTCCTCCTTGATTTCAGGAGTCATTTTTCCTTCTCTATGCTATCGCCAAAATATTTTTTTTGGGGGGGGAGAGGGAGAAGGGCCACGAACTTGGTGTCCCACCCATTGGCTATGTCGCTAAGTCGAGCTAATGCCATTTCGAACCGTAGCCGATCGCACACGCTGCGGCTTTGCGCCGTTTAATTTTTTCGTCTGAGCAGCAAGCACACCTGTCGCGACATGCGTCGTATTGAATAGCTTGCCGCACACACGAACGTTTCGTTGCAGGCAAATAATTAGACTTTGCCGCCCGCACTTCCGTGTAGAAGGGGTGAGTAGTGAGGTCTGCCCGATTTTCGTGGCACATACCTGCGCGATGAGTTCTTGCTCACAAACAAATGAATGAATCTCTTAGTAACTAGGAGCTTCACTGTTTAAACTAGCACAAAACTTGAAGAAAATGCTCAAGTTTACAGTAATACTCACCTCTATTGAGACATTTAAGGTCATAGGCGTAAATGCCTCTACGCAAGATGCAGAATTATTGACCAAACCACATGTATTGGAAAGAAGCATTCATTGTCGACCTCATAATCTCATCACCAGAAGTGCACTGCGAGGCGAAAGAAAAGTAAACAAATAAATAAAGCAGGGCTGGACATGTGAACGTGACGCGTTTCTGTGGCTCTTGTATAAAAAGAAACCCAAAAAGCGGTCAATTTTCAATCCTATTTTAATACCTTGTTGCAAATGTTCCGAAATATTTCTTACAAGCTGCATAATTGTTGAACAGGACAATGATACCTCAAAACATTAGGTTGTTTACGGGAAACAATCATTATTCGTTGCCTTTTTCAGCCATTTTTTGTCCATTTCTTTCGTTAGCTTTGTTCAGTTTTTTTCTTTGTTATGCGAGGAATTAAGGGGTAACTGTGCAGTGTATAGAACATTTGCGCAGACATTCACGTATCTACTGTGTGCTCTTTGTCTATGCAATGTATCAATGAATTCTGGCGTCTCTGTTGAATCAAAAACAGTTTCGTAATAAAAAAATCCACACAAAATTAGATTTTACTGCGTATATTTATCTATTACGATAATAATGACATGGATATGCTTTATTTTTGATTGCTCGTCTCTGAAGCTAGCCTCTTCAATAAATTGGTACAATAATTTTACTGTGAAAGAACCTTCCTCACCCTACTCGAAATCCATCCATATTTTGTGCAGTACTCAACTACATCTTTCAACGAACTTCCTCAATTTTACCGAGATTATCAATTTTAATGTCACCAACTTTTTCTTCTTCATTATCAGCGTTTAAAGTTCAGACAGTCTGATCACTTGGGTTGAAAATTTTATGTCTTCTCACTTCTTCATTGGGCTCTTTGTTACTTGGAAGAGCTGCCTAGCAGTACGCTGTTTGAGTGTCTCGCGTTTTTTTGCTCAGTAACATGTGAAACATGCGAAGCTTACTACTGCCTTCATCGGAGATGTACATTAACCAGTTCGGATATTTGCCAGGTCCTCCGGTGTCTGCAGCGGCCATGTTCATGAAGCGGACGGGCCCTTACTTCGACAGCGAAGACGCTGAAGTCAACTCACTTCCAAGTGAGGGTCATTTACGACAATTTTGAAGTTGTGTCGAGCCATAAGGCAAAGGGACGTAACACCAGGGACTCCTCATCACCGATTACACTGAATGAAGAAGGGCCGTGCAAGCCAGAAACCAACGCCATTACTTTCATTCCTATTGAACCTAACGGTAACATAGAGCGCCTCAACAGGCAATCTGTTTCGATGCAGCTCGATGGGCTGGTGTCAGAGGAAATAATGGATATCCCAGTGAAGCCGCGCAATAACGTCATTGTGATTGATGTTTCGTACGCAACTTCACTGAACACACTACGAAGTGTGTTCAGAGATGGATTGAATCACCGTATGCTCCTACATCTTAGTGGGTTTTAACGTCGTGGGTTCTAACCACTTTGTCCCCCCACCACGACACGGAGTTAGCCCTCATTTACCATAAGACATTTCGTGTGTTAAATATCTTTAGATTATGCTTCCGGAGGTGGGCGACCATTCTCAAGTCGTAGATTACTGACACAACAGTCAGTTAGGACTTATAATTATGTGTCACTGCAAGAGCCACAAGGAAGGTTTAATTGAAAGATTTAGGTAGGAACGTTTATTTCCGGTCCTGTAAGAAAATATTTTGATTACTGCAGGCCATTTCTTATCTTGTTCCATCCAGACTGGCAAAGCCTGTTCATATCGGTGATATCTTCTTTCTCGTTTCACGCACTATAATAAAACTGGAAATCTGGGCCCCTGCAATGATGAGGGGGAAGAGGAAAAAGAGCCAAGGAGAACTAACCGTGCTGCTTGCGTATAACAGGCACTAGTGGTACGTGAGCGCTTCGCCACTCGTACATTGATCATGCCTTTCAAAGAAAATGCAAACTCTCAGGAGACCCGACGCAGTATATGGCCCCCTATTTTTTCGGCGTGCTGGTCTGTGCTTTCTTTCTTTATTTCCCACCATTTAACCTGCTCCTCTCGTCAGCTTCACCTGTCGTAATCCCGTTCATGCGCAATCTCCGGTGACCTAGTGCCATCGGTCGATGCTTTATCAGGTGCTAAGCTGCTCACGTGCTTGAGTGCGTTTCCTAGAGTATAGGCGTATGCTCACATAAAAAAAAAAGAGAACTGTAGCACGCGAGTGTCCGCTTTAACGCTTTCGCCACTTACACGTATCGGTAAACCATCTCACCTAGTTGTCATTCGTCGAAGGATAGACTTGGTCGGCGTACAGTTAGATAACAAAGACTCTGCCGTTGTGTGACAAGTTCGACACGTTTTGTTGAATAGAAATAACGTGCAAGGCACTGACGTCAGCGAGAGTATATAAGCAGGGACTCAACACTGCAAAGAGCATCCACTGGAGACAGGATTCAGTGAGCTTTTTCAGCAACCAGCGCAAACTTCCAGTCACCATGAAGGCCATTGTAAGTGAGCATCAGTGGCTTGACCGGCAAGCCACAGAAGAGATTAGAGTGATGCAGATGGGCGTGTGCATTTACATATGATAACTTAGCAGAAGTTTCGGAGCACCATGAAGCGGCAAGAAAAAAAATAAAAAACAGTTCTGGCATTAGTATGCGAAGAATATTATTCACGTGTTGAAAAAATTCGTAAACAAGGGTTGTGTGCTCGAGCAACGAATCGATTTCAAATTTTTATGGGTTTCCTGATCGCAAGCTTCTATTTCCTCCTTTCTGGAGTTTTTCAGCGCATTCAATTTCGTTAGTTGTTTGAAGAGGTGGAAATATGAAAAATACAATGCACTATAGTTACCCCGCTGCGAGTAGCTATGTGTAATGACAGGATAAATGAAGAGTTAATCAATGTCTAGAAATACGTAATTGTAATAGTTCATTATACTTCAGGGCAGGCGTTAAGAAGAGCCAAGCTGAGGCAGTCCGTAAGAAATTACTTCAGCCGACCTTCATTCGCTAAATTATGCTATTACACGTACCATTCATTAGCCAATGGAAATGACAAATAAAACTTATGTGCAAATAACTTTTTGAACTTGATTCCAGTTGTTCAAGTGCTACAGGGCTTTGTTTTTTGTTGAATATATATAAATTTCTGAACGAGTCTTGCTTCTTGTAAAGAGTTAAGGCTAAGTAAACGATGGCACTGAGAATATGAGAATAACTAGGAATACCTGATAAAAAAACGCAAGTCTGTATGCAACCCTATGGTAATTGTTCGAAGTTTGTACATTACAGCAGGAAGAATTAAAGTCTGCTTGTTTTGTGCTTCATCGTCCTCACGCATGTTTGTTTGAAAAAGACCAGTGCTAGTGTTCGGAGGCATAGCAAGCAACGTCCTTGAGAGTGTGCTCACGCCACAGAGCGGTCTTCCACACAGCAGAGTAATTGGAGTGCCTTGATGATGATAATAAAGAAGGCAAAACAACACATAACCTAGCAAACTGTAGCATATTGAGAGAGTGCTTGTGCAATGTTATTTACACAACTCTATTAAACGTGTTTTGGACCTTGAAGCTAAGGGCATGCAGTAAGAAATGAGTGTATGCATCACTGCCTCTCCCTTCCTAAAGAGAGGGAGGGTGGGGTTTGGGATGCAAGAGTTTGGAACATAAGAGTATCAATGTGGTATGTCACACTTACAAGTAAACTGCCTGCTCGTGTTTTCATCTACTGTAACTTTGAAGAATTCTCTGGCTATACATTTTCCAGGTAGATCCAGACCATTAGCATTCTTCTGTAGTCGATTGTTGCCGTTCATTTAAATAAATTTTAGTCCATCTGCAGAAGACGTAAATAAAAATACAACACACAAAGTAAGTTAATGTACCACTTCCCATTCCGTGTGCACAAAATCAGCTGGAAGTAACATGGGAAGCCCGGGTGTGCAACAAGGAGTCAGACCGTCGGTGAACGCATTTTCAAATCTACCATGTATTTGTGCTGCCATTTCTTTTCCACAGGCTCTCATCGCTACCCTAGCAGTCGTCCTCACCTTCGCAAGCGCAGGTTATCTCGGAGGCTATGGTGGACTCGGTTATGGTGGCCTCGGCTTCGGTGGCGGCTATGGTTTGGGCTACGGCGGCCTCGGCTTGGGCTACGGTGGCTACGGTGGCTATGGCGGTTACGGCGGTTACGGTGGCTATGGAGGTTACGGTGGTTACGGCGGTTACGGTGGCTACGGCGGCTACGGCGGCTACGGTGGCTACGGTGGCTATGGCTACAAGGGTTGATTACTAAAGAAAACAAAACGATCGAAAGAAGGTCAGTTCAAAAGCTTGTTACAACGTTGCGAAAAAATACCAAGGAAGCCAATGAGGCTACAAGACGGGTAATAAAGTTCTCTAAACAAGTAAAGTTATGCGTTCCCTTTTTCTTTATTTAGCGTGTAGCAAAAGAGAGCAAATGCCGTCAATTACGAAGTTGTGTGAGTGCCTGATGAGCGCCATACTTTGGCAAGGCTGCTATAGAAATTCTTTGAAAACAACGTTCGTGTTGGGAAATGATGGCCCTTTCTGCATCTTCATGAACTTACCAAGACAATTGCAATGCTGCATTCGTAACACCTGAACACAGAGGCAAAAAAACTGCATAGGTTTTAAAGATGATTGCTGCACAGGTTTGCAGAACTGAAATGCATTGGCATCTCAATGAAAAGGACATTTTATAATGACTTCACTCTGGCTAACTATAGAAAAGCCATATACCGTTTGCATAGGAGAGTTGAATCATGTGAACGATGACATACTTTGGAAGAAATAACGCGTCAAGCGCACTCAACGGTGAAACATCAGGGATAGTTAAGTTTTATGCTTAAGGGGCTAATTTTCAAAGCTTTGCATGCATAACAGCTTCTTTTTATTAGACAGGAAGTTTTGCTAATATCACGTCAAGCATCAAGGCTGGTCAATACAATTTCACGAACAATTAGAGAATTTAAAAATATTGAAGAGTGACCTAGTACTTTGCAAAAATATCGATAGGCGTTGGACGAGCGCAATACATAAAGAAAAGCGACATAAAGAAAAGCAACAGAAGATTGGGATTGTCGCAAAACTGATCGTGTTGGCACTATATTTTGATTAAGCCGCTTCTCATCTTTCATTTTCTATATAAGCAACACAAATGAGGAGCCTGATACAGTCTTCTGCGTGACCATGAGTTAGTATGATGTAACCATTATCGGCGTGTTGTGTGTAGCACAATTCATGCGGCTGATGAAGCGCGGAGCTCGCGGTCGGCGGACGCGTGGTCACCGCCGTCAGTGTCCGCGTTGGCTCGGGTTAGGCTGCGCAGAGCCCCAGCGTTGGAGCGAGCAGTCCGGGCCCAGCTATCAGCGGAGGCGGTGACAGCCCGAGTTCCTCTAACCATGCCCGCTCAAGGTTGGCAAGGCCGAGCCGCGAGCTGGTGGCTGTCGAAGTCATGGCGGGACTCACGTGGAGCGACCAAGAGACATACGATCTGATCTGCATCTGGGCTGCGGATCAAGACCTGCTCGATGGGACGTCCCGAAACAACAAGGTGTACGAGAGCATGGCCGCGCAGATGCGCAGCCTGGGCTACCTGCGCACCACGCTCCAGGTCAAGGAGAAGATGAAGCGACTTCGCAAGGAGTACAAGTACGGCAAGCGCAATAGAAGATCGCCACCTATCACGACGGACTGGCTACCGTGTTGGTGCAGGGCTCCAAGGGCGGCTCTCAATTCATCCAGAGCGAAGTTCACGAAAGCATGGGTTCCGAATAATTCCACGGTACGGACTTCGAAACAAACTACATAGAGGAGCGGAGGTTCGGGCTTAGACCCGGGCAGACGCCTGAGGCTGCACTACAGTGTCTCTTCACTGGTCTACGGCTCTTCTTTCGCGCTGCCGCCATGCACTCGAGTCATCGAGGGGACCCATTCCGAACCTCAAACGTCTTCCCTTATTAGCAAGTGTAGAAGCTAGTCGAGGAGGAGGAAATTACCTCCACGATTCCTGACATTGCCTCAAAAGCGAACGAATAAAAGAAATATTCAAGCGAAATAAACTAGTGTGAAACGTATACAGCGGCAAAATGAGCTGAACAGAGTGCTATTGCGAGAATGCAACTTATGGAATTATACACAGGCGTTTTCAAACCAAATAGGTATCCATATTGATATTTTTGGGGTTGCAATATATTCCTGAATTGCAGTAATAGCGGTGGTTTCTGTCCCCTGAAATACGTCGCAAGAGCGAAGCTGTATTTACGAATGAGGCATCGCTTTATGGAGTGAATATTTTAGCTCTTTTTCGTTTTAATCATTATTTTTATTAATTCGCCCTATATAACTGGCAGACAAGAGATAAAGCTTTGTCTCCGGAATGAGCCATGAGCTTCGGCTTGTGACAAAATCCAATTTATTAGAAGGAAAGAGAGAGAGAAAAGCAAAGGCAAGGAGGTTAATAAGAGTGCACACCGACGCGAATTAGAGGAAAAGAGAGGAGAATAGAGATGAGAAGAAAGAAAGAAAGAGATGGAAAGTAATACGCTCTAACGCAGAGCAGCGTGTACCGCACATTCTCAGAAGGTCATAATACAGAACTTTCACAAAGTACGGGTCGAATTCAACTGGCTGAAATGAAATACGCTGCAAATACTTATGCTACAGAAGGCTTTCAAGAAATGGCTCCAATGTATTCAGAACTCCCAGTGCGCTTCGAACTGATGGGTTGTGAATCAGGGGAGGAGTGTGCGCACACTACTTATCAATGATCTCCACACTTCGACTACACGTACGTCTTAGTCACAGGGATCCTTAGTAGAATCTTGTGTCGCCTCCCTGTGGACGAGCAGCAGTGACAAGGGCGGCCACTGTACATCCGCGTCGTCTTCACCTTATCTGCGTCTCTTTGGCTATCCGAATGTCAGGCGTTTGTTGATTTTGGTGGTGGTGGTGGTGTTAGTTGTCGGGAAATGAAAGCTCAATGGCCTGCTAGATTAAGGCTTCACGCTGAGATGATGGCCATGAGTTTGTAGTAATTATAGACTTTCGTTGGTGACTTGAATGTCGTTTTCGCTTTCTGTCAATATCATCGGCTTCCTTTTGTGAACAGCACACCACTAGCGTCAGTTTACTACACACCATACATCACGGTCCGAAGGTCTCTTTAGGGTAATTGCTGGGCAGATTTGTGGGGCTATGGGAGACTACGGCGTGGAGCAGCCTTAGAAGTACCCGATTCCGTTGAGGTAGTAAAGGAGGTGTTATTTAGAGGTAGGAGACATGGAGGACCCATTTAATAGTTGGAGGACCCCATTCTTCCCTCGCACTTTTTCGTCTTTTTTCCTCTTCGTCTGATGGTCCGCCAGCGCTCGCGACAGAATTACCATTCCCGGCCACATAGTGAAGTTGGTCGAGCAGTTTTAAGTGCTGCAACCTCCGCGCAGGCCTTCTTACGATAACAGCTTGTGATGTCTCGCAGTGAAAAAATGGACGCAACCAGCTGAGCTTCTTGAATGAATGTTCTCCGAGATATTACATAAGTGCTGATGCTGACTTTTCTTGTCACCATGAGCCGTCTATTCTTCAATCTGACTCATTGTTTTGTCGAGCTTCTCTCTCCCCTTGGTATGCAGACAGAGGATCTTTGTCGCCGCCAGCTTGCGGCAGTTGGCGATCATTAACACGGGCCTTTCAGTCTGTTGCTTCAACACTTCAACATGCAGGCGGCTTTTCCCAAAACTGTCCCGCGAGGCTTTTCTGTCTAGGATGTTATTCTGGTGGCAGAGTTCTGCTGCTTTCTCAGCGATGCTAGTGGTATAATCATGACATACGTCATCTTTGGCGAGCTGGAAGAGATACCCCCGCAGCTTCTGCATAATAGCTTGGCCTTGTATGCGCAATAACTCATTGGTTCTTACTTCCTCGAGTGATTCCGGTAGGTGGCTTTCCAGCTTAGGCAGTTTGCCTCACATGAGATCATCTCCTTATACATGGATCTCTCAATATGTCCTGGCTGCTTGCTTTCTTCCCCAATTTCACTCTGGTGCATCTCTTCACCGAATATCTGTTGAATATGGGGCACTCAAAGGGTTACATACCGTGGCTTCTCTTCTGCTGCAAGCAGCCGCTTCTGCACATCGTACAATTCTTTAGTCAGTTCCTGTACTTTTGCCTCGTACGTCATAACCAAAACTTCTTGAGGAGCTTTGCTTATTAGTTCTTCAAATTTATGCTCCAACTTTTTACGATGTTGTCGCTCCACAGAAAACAGATCTTCTATTTTTTTCAGCCTGGTCGCATTGTCACTCTGTTGATGTTCACAGTACATTCGCTCCTGACGCAACTTCGCTCGCAACTCAGCCATCTTAGTGTCCAGCGATGCTGCCTGCTCTACGTCGCTCTGAAGTTGACGTTCTGCAGCGCGCTTCTTCTGGATGAGCGGCTTGCAGCTATTGCATAACCCAGTCACCGCGTGGGTCTTCTCTTTTGAAAGAGTGGATGCCGTCTGTAGAAACGCACGCGTATAACGGTGATATGGAGTTCTACTAGGTAATGTATGGTCATAGAAGCTTGCTTTTTTCCCACCATCAACCGTTGATGCTTTCGTTCGTTCCAACTTCTTTGCGCTTTTGTTCTTAGTAGTTTTTTCTGGGTCGCACATAGTCGAGGCATCTCGGCCTTTTCTTTACGAACACGAGATCTTCGCTGACAATCGCGTGCCCTGTGGCCTTTCATGGTACATCTGAACCACTGTTTATAACCCGACAGCACTTCCTTTTTCCGTGTCAAGAACATGTCGGTAGGACACTCTTCCATTGAGATCTGCTTCGATGTGCAGAACACAGAAATCTTTATTTCGCCTTCGAAATCTCTAGAGTAGTTTTTAGCAGAACAGATAAAGTCGGGTGTTCTCAGCTGCGACTTGGGCTGGCTGGTTCGAAGAACGTTGAACACTGGTGTCTTGTACGCTGCTATCCATGTAATTACTGTTTTCCAAGATCTCCAGCTCGATTAAAAGGAAGGTCGGGAGACCGTCAAGCCCCGAAGGATCAGCAGTAGAGTCCAAAGGCCCTTGTGTAGGACAGGTACGGTGACATAAGATCACGATGTCTCGGGGCAACGCTCTACGTATAATGTCGGAGAGCATCGACGAGAATGAAGCCCGCTGTACACCCAGTCACTCGAGTCCTAGGATGTTGACATGGACTCAGTCATAGAGTTGTCAAAAGGCTATTGCGTCACCGGATGCACGAACAGGAGTCAAAAGACGCAATCTTGCGAAATATTCCTGTTCCTTGCGCGTGTTGTAACCAAAGCGCTTCTGTAGCATGTCTACAGCCTCATTATAATATGCTTCTGTAGGCGGAAGACCGGCCACC